GCCAAAACTTTAAGTTAATTTCATAAAAATGTTTTCTAACATCCATAAACCATTTTCAAACAATTAACTCGAAGCTTTAACAACAATTGGAAGGTTAATAATTCTTGGTTCTTAAAAAATGTATTTTTCATTTTTATAACACATAACTCAACCAAATGATCGTTTATGAACATAAAACAGAAAAATAATCTATATGAACATTCTAATAACTAGATATATCCAAGGGCTTACTTAGCAGTAAAATAGAGTTTTAGAAATTTTCTGGCAAAACTTTCGGTGATTACTACAACTATCTCCGGCAATTCCAACAGTGGCAAACTACGGCGACTTGTTCTCCTTACTCTTAGGAACACAATGATAGTAATATTGAAGAAATTAATGAAGGAATGAAGAGGGTGAAAGTCTCTTATATAGGGATAAGACAAGAAACCAAAGGAAATCCTGCAGCGTGATGATCGGTGATCGTGGGAAGCGGCTAGTGCAATCCTACAGCGTGATGATCTGTTCCGTTCAACTTATTTTTTCTGATCTGATCTGATTTTTTGTAGTTCTGATCTGATCTGGTCTGATCTGATTAGATTTGATCTGATCTGATCTGATTGGATCTGATCTAATCTGATTGGATCTGATCTGATCTGATTGGATCTGATCTGATTGGATCTGATCTCATCTGATTGGATCTTATCTGATCTGATTGGATCCGATTTGATTAATTATGATTTGATTAAAAATTCAAATCAATAATTTGATTTGAGCTTATAATAACGTTTGAAAATTGTAATGATAATTCATACTATAATATAAACACTATTTTTATTTTATAATTATTTTTTAATAAAATAAAATTAATCAGTTCATATATTAGAATAATCATTCATATTTTAATGTAATAATATTTTTTATTTGATGATTATTGTTTATGAAATAAGAATATTGATTTAATATTTTAATAATTAGTTCATATTTACGTTAGAATAAATATTTAATTTATATATAATCAATATTGAGAAGAGATAATATTTTTATTAAAATATTTCATCCTTATAAAAGATCAAAACTTTAGAAACTCAAATTACAGGTAGCAATAAAAATATATTTTAAAAGTAGAATTAGATTAACATTGTCAATGTATTTTAAAAAAAATTATTGATGTCTAATAATTTAGGATTAATTTCTCTTTTTTATTTAACTTGTTTCTAAAGTTTACTTTTTTTCATTTTTAATAATAATAATAATAATAATAATAATAATAATAATAATAATAATAATAATTCTTTATGGGATCTGATCTGGTCTGGTCTGATCTGATTGGATTTGATCTAATCTGATCTGATTTAATTTGATTGGATCTGATCTGATCTGATCCGATCTGATCTGATGTGGTCTGGTCTGATCTGGTTTGATCTGATCTGGTTTTAATAAGAATATGAAAAAATAAGAAAAAATAAGTTGAACGGAACAGGGCCTAACATTAGTCCAATCTGACAATCAAACTCTACCTAAGGTATAATTTAAAAAACTAAAAGAACAAAGGCATTTGTTGTTTGAGAATACCTTTTTGTCCCAATCAGGGTATACTTTTTTTATCCATCTTTCTCCGAATTAAGAGCTATTTGCATCGTTGCGATCAGACGGTCAAACTCTATACAAGGTATAATTTTCATAATTAATTGACAAAATTTATAAATTACGTATTTTTGGGTCCTTTTTAATAATTAATTAATTATCAATTAATTAATTAATTCTGATAGGCTTATATTCGAGGGATTACATAATTTGTTTAATACTTTGTGTTGTATGCTCAGTTCTTACATTTTAGCTTAATTAATTAAATTTGATGTGTCTTCAACGATTGATGATACAGTAACGTATCGAATAGAGAAGAGAAATTGAGAAATTAGGGGAGGAGATGAAGAATTTGGGAGAAGAAGTGAGAGAGTCAAGGAGGGAAGGAGGCGAGATTTGAGAGGAGAAGGGAGGAGAGATTAGGGTTTAGCGGTGAAAATATTATTGTTCTTCATTGATGATATTCTCAAGGGGATTACAACTCAATATATAGATAAATATAATAAACCCTAACGCTAGCAAATACCTAATCCCTAAGCCTGTCGGTTCAATAAAAGCGTCGAGGTAAAGAACCGAAAAGAAACCCTCGAAGGAGTGTTATAATTCCACTCAATAACAAAAAGTAAATAAAAATAATTAAACTATCTAGCTAAACTATTAAAATATCTAATTAACTATAAATTAATTAATTCTTCTGTATCACTGCCGCCCCGATAGAAACACACCTTGTCCTCAAGGTGTAAGTAGGAAAACAAACGGTGTGCAATGACCCTGTGCATGCCATGTTTGGTGAAGGATCCCATTCAAGCTTCAAAACAGTTGATGCAGTAGCGAACAAAATAAATTGGCCACCTTCGGATCAAGCCTCCGAATTCTGTCCAGGCAAACAAAGAACTCCAAGCAATGTGATGAGGGAAGGTGCCTCGAAAGAAACAAAATGCAGCCCCCCTACCACCCTCAAGTAAAACATGATCCCTAACTCCTTCAAACATGCTAGTCAATGGAAAAGCCTTTGGTAGAGAAACATCATTAGGCAACACAAACGGGTTTTCCAAGCTTATGTTTCCCGCAAAATCCGTAGCACAATCATCAAAAATGATAACAGGAACCTCATCGGAAACACTTGTAGAAGCAATAATATCTTTCTCAACTGTCACAACTGAAATGATTTCCTTAACGGGTTCATGCAATTGCTCTTCTTTTGGTTGCTCAATGTTCGACATCCAAGCATTAGGACAAATGCATGTAACACTATAAAACCATGTTGGAAAATCTGGATCCAGTCGCCGAGGCTTAAAAAGGCTATTACAAAATAACCCACTTTTGTAATCACTTAGGGTCTCCCGAGTTTCCAAAAGAGAGAATGCATCATCAACGCGTCGTGACAGAGCAATTTGTTCCTGGCGGAGTGCGTGAATCTCAAGGGCAAGATCCTTAACAGCTAACCAAACATCATTTAGGGACGAGGCAGCGGGCTGTGATGGTGCCGCCTACGACTTTCCCGCCATATGAATCGATAAAAAAAATTAACAATAATTGTAGCCTGTGACAGCAAGGGTGAAGCCGACAAGTGCAACCCACCAAATCAAAATTGAAAATAAATATATTCAATGAATCACCAATTGCTATTGCCGATCCCTCCTGGAAATATTTCTTTCTATTGCCAATGTCTTTGCACAGCAATTATGCGCAAGAAAAAAAAACCTGATGGAATTCTTCACAAAGCAAATAACTTTGCAGCTGTCCCTTGAATTGTGGCACGACTAAGAGAAAAGAGCCCGACGGCGGCAAGTTAGATGACAGTGACTAATCTTTTACTCTTTTTTTTGGATGAGTTCAAGAATGAAAGCACCAATTGATACGGTATCGTATCAAAATAGGGAAGAGAAATTGAGAAATTGGGGGAGAGATGAAGAATTTGGGAGAAGAAGTGAGAGAGTCGAGGGAAGGAGGCGAGATTTGAGAGAAGAAGGGAGGAGAGATTAGGGTTTAGCGGTGAAAATATTATTGTTTTGATGATATTCTCAAGGGGATTACAACTCAATATATATAGATAAATATAATAAACCCTAACGCTAGCAAATACCTAATCCCTAAGCCTGTCGGTTCAATAAAAGCGTCGAGGTAAAGAACCGAAAAGAAACCCTCGAAGGAGTGTTATAAATTAAACTATCTAGCTAAACTATTAAAATATCTAATTAACTATAAATTATTAATTAATTCTTCTGTATCAATTGAGATCAGAGTTGTTCGTTTTATACTCCGTATGTACTACTATGCATATGTGAAGCATAAATATGTTTTTCTGGGAATTTTAAGTATAGAGCTGCTCAAAACTCACTTTTTTAAAAAAGACTTATTAGCAACGGTTGTTAGTGGTTGTTACTAAACAGCTGATGCTAATACTAACTTATTCTAAATAAAAAACAAAAAACAAATGCATCAATTGTTTGCTCTAGAAACGGATGCAAAAACTATCATTTTTTAAAAATAAATAATTATTTAAAAACTTTGGCATCGGTTTTTTGGGAAACAACCGACACTAATACTTTTTAAATTTAATTAAAAAATTAATTGAGAAATGGCAACGGTTATTTGGTTGTTCTCAAACAATCGATGCCTTTGTTCTTTTAGATTTTTTTAATTAAATTCAATTATTATTAAGCTCGGTTATTATGGAAATAATTGATGCCAATACTCTTTGTTTTGGCGAAATAAAATAGCAATTGCATTGGTTATTTTGAAACCAATGCAATTGAACTTGAGCAATTGCATTGCTGGTACTTGCTTCTACAGAGAAACGGATGCGAAAAATCCAAATCAATCTTTGCAAAAGCCTAGGTAGTAGTGGATTTCTCCTTCAATAGCAAGTGGCTTAGGGACAGTGGAAACAATTTCATTTAAAAATCTTGAAGAGATTTAAAAGATGCAATGATGTATTACCAGATATCCAAGACTAGCATTTAAAAGATGTAATAATAATAGTGATACTACTACTAGTAGTAGTAATAATGATAATAATAATAATAATAACAATAATAATATAACAATAACAATAATAATAATAATAATAATAATAATATTATTATTATTATTAATTGGATCCGATCTGATTTTATTAAGAATAAGTAGGAAGCACGAAAAATAAATTGAATTAAATGCTGTGTGAATACATTTGTGCTTTTTAGTTCTATCCCCAAAAGTCACAATTTTCAAAATCTTAATGAACTGTGATGCCTTCTTATAAAAATCTTGGCGCATCATCGATATTTGTTTTCAACATTACTCCTCCGGTTCCAAACCCAGAATTAGCATCCATTAATACATGCATTTTACAGATCACACCAAAAAGAGGATCAGATTGGAGGGAAAAAAAGAAGATGCATGCGGATATCACACAATGGCGGCCGGCCATATATATTGCAAATAAAACTCAAACTGTAATAGTTTGATTATTAAAAAAAAGAGTCACTCTAGCATCAGATAGTAATGGGCGATCAGTATAAACAAGGGACTAACTAGGGAGTATATGGATATATGAGTGACGCAGATATAATTAAATCATCAGATTCAGCTGGGGCGATAGAGAGAATCATGATGGCACTGGATGGATATATATATGATGAAGGTGTAAAATTACCAACAAGGCTTAATCCAACAAGAGTTGGGGTACCATCTTGTACCATAAAGATTGGTGGACGATGAATCGAGTTGGCTTCCGGAGAAATGCCACTTGCCCGTTTCCATGGAGAAGTAGACAATATCTGAACCACGGAGCAAAGGAAAGTAAATTCTGTTCCCGCCACCACCAGTTGAAGAAGGCGGCATGGCAGAGGATGAAGAAGAAGCAGTTGGGTTGAGATATAAGTCGTAGCCTCCCAATCTGCTCGCCTTTTCCCATACCTGAGAATCACTATTTAACCTGTAAACAGAAACCCATTTCCCCGCACGCCCAAGAAATATTGAGATCAACTCCCCACCACACTCCACCAAGAAGTTGTGATCAAAGAACTTCAGGCCCGCTGGCCTATGCGGCTTCTCAAGAACTTCCCACCTCATGTTTCCTCCTTCAAAATCTATTTCAAGATTTCCCAGTTTGCCCGTCTTATCCAAGTAATAGAAAGTGTCTTTAAACAAGACCGGACTAGTCTGCGCTGCTGCATCAAAATTCTTGTTGCCCTTCATCTCGTCCCAACTCCATTCTTCATCAGGATCATCAAGATCGACCACGGTTGATACAAAAACTTTGGTTCCACAAAAAACAACACGAACCGGTTGTATGGATCCTGGTGGATTTCGAATGAAAAAAAGGCAGTCTTCTCTTTTGGTAAGAGTGTGATTGTAAGTGATGACGCATTTCTTGAACGGATTGTAAAGATTAACACAAGATCGACTTTTTGACAATAAGACCCATCCTTGTTCAGAATAGCGAATGATATGATGACTTCTAAGAGAATCAGGTATACTCATCAAGTAGTAATTGTTACCATTGACATTTAGGCTCGGATCCACAAATTTATAAACGCTCTCATGGCTGTCAGGAAACATTAGCAACGGGGAAGGAAAACAATGAGATTTTTCGGTTTCGGACAGGGCTATTCTCCAATTTATTGGAGGACAAAGTGATTGGCATATCTTACTCGCGGCACGAAAATTCATGTACTCTGTTGCTATGAGATGCTTGGAAATATGCTCCAACAAATCGAAAGGAAGGTCATACAACTGTATGCACACATTTGTATTTTTACACGACTCCAATTCTGATGTGACGATGGTTCTTCTTCTTCTTTGATTGTTGATGTTGCACTTTTGGTTGTTTTGCTTATCTTCTTCCCTGAAGGAAATGTCATATGTTAGAATAGATATGAGTTTTCCATTCTAAATGATCATGCATGAAAGCATTTTATATTACTGCATTCTCTACTACATCCTCCCGTCCTAAAAAATTCTTTTTTGGTCAAATAGGTGACACTCTTTAACTAAAAATTATGTTACAAATATACTCCCTCCGTCCCAATTTAAATCGCCCGTTTTGACTTTTGGGCATATTTAAAAAAAATAAAAAATAGAGTTGATTTTTCAAAATTGATATTACTTTTTAAGAGGGGTAACGTTGAATGAGAAGATAAGGTAAAAAAGAATGACTTATTTTAAGGGTAATTTAGGTATTTTATTTTTAATAGTTTACGAAAACAACTAACAAGCAATTTATTTTGGGACGGAGAAAAAAGGCAAACAGGCAATTTAAAATGTGACGGAGGGAGTATCTAAATGTCATATAAATTGAATATGATTGGTTCATCTTAAATCTTAATAATTAGGATATACTACCTTCGTCCCATTGTCTTTGTCCACTTTTGACTTTTAGAACTATTCATCTAAGCACTTTGACTCATCAAATACTCTTAATGTGTAAGCCTAAAAATAGTCATATGTGATCTTGTTTGATTCGTCTTAACATATAGATTATTAATATGTAATTTGTATAATTTTTTAATATACAAATTACAAAATAAAATGGGTTAAAAAAGTGCATTGGATAGTGTGCCAAAAGGTAAGTGTACAAAGACAGTGGGACAGTACTCCTATATGAATGATCGAGGGAATTAATTAATTAATAATGAAGCAAAGCAAGAGGTGACTGACTTGATGGAGAGGACATGTTGGGGGTTCATGGAAATAGGAGGAGACGGGGAGAAGACATCAAAATACTTCCATCTTCCATGTTATAACAGTACAAACGTTTATCTTTTCTCTTTGTGAAATATATAAGGCCCCCGCCCCCGCCGCCGGATGGGGGGCAACAGAAGCAGTAGTTCCTGCCAATGAAGAAAATGGTGGAGTCCTCCTTGATGCTTTTCATTCTCTCCCACTCCATGGAATGGAAACTCATTCGGTACAGCTCAAACACTTGAGCTCCAGGTGAAAAATGCAGCAAGAAGAGTTCCCCACAAGACTCCACAATATAGACATTGGTGTAAGGTGAGATGGAAGCACAACTCAGGCCAGCAGGTTCTTCCACTGTACACAAAACCAGCCCATATTCTGCTCCTCCTTCAACTTCTACTTGAACTTCGACTTCAACTATCTCAATTGACATCATAGAATAGCAGAAGCCACCAATCCATTCGGCACCGAGCTGGGCATATATTTTACCATCGAAGCCAACAGCCCGTTTGAAAAACAGGGGCCTTCCCCACTCTCTAGCATACCTTTGAATTTTCTCTGGAACGAAAGGCTCCAAATACTTGCCATACCTTATTTCTCTCCACTTTGTCTCTCCCACCCGACAAAACATTATGGATGGCAATTTTTCCAGGAATATTGAGACGGTGAAACCATGCCAGTTACTACTATTATTATTGGTATGGCCGCCGCCACCGCCGCCTGGACCTTGAGGAGGAAGAGGAGGAGGTAGTAGGACGCAACTGTCGATCTTGTAATTTGATAAGTGATTCAGGTGGGGGAGGCGGATACGGTTGTCGTTGTCGAATGTGGCCGAGTTACACAGAGACAGCAATTTGGCTTTATAATCGTACAAAACAAGGCAGCCGTGAGCACAAGAGAGAACCTTATTGCGGCCCAAACCAGGAATAATAATGCCAGGGGAGGGTCCTGCTATGTCCGAAGCGAAAGGCTGCTTTCTGTAACCTTTGCCGTGGTAATGCACCAGCCAAGGACGACACGCCGCCGGTTGTGACGCCGCCGCTACTTCTCCGCTATTGTAGGATCATTGGTCATTATCTGTTAGTCATTATTCAACTAAATATCCAACATCACTTAGACATTGACTTATATTTTAGTCCTATTGAGTGTAAATTTCACTATTTTTAATTGGATTTATTTGATTATAAGTGTAGAATTTTTTAAAAAAATACTTATATATTTAAAAATTATACTCCGTATGAAAAAGCTTTACAAAATATGAGATGACGTAACTATATTTTTTTATCAAATAACTAACAAAAATAGATAAATAAAGTAATTAAATTTGATCCAAAAGTAGTGGTATGTACTATGTAGAACAATGTTTTTTTCCAATCTCTAAAAATATTACTCCGTATTTTTTCTTTTGCCACATTAATATGATTCTCACCCCCACCCTCCATGTGTATTATTTAAAAAAATGATGTGTCTCTCGTATTTTTTAAAATAAATAAACACGGATTAAAAAAATTTGTGATAAAAATAATAATTTAAAAAAGCATCATGAATGCGCAAAATCTACTCTCTCTCTCTCTCTCTCTCTCTCTCTCTATATATATATATATATATATATATATATATATATATATATATATATATATATATATATATATATATATATATATATATATATATATAGGGGGTGGTTCAAGTGAGAATGCACCTTGGTGAAAGAAATAAGAATAAAATCTAGCCTTTGGATGTGATGCATCGTGCGGCTCAGATTGCTTCCTGCACTCAGATTTTGAGATAGTGCATTTTTAAAGGATTTTGTTGCATTTCGACATGATGCATTTTCAGACCATTTTGGTGCACCTAATTTTGATGCAATCCTAACCCTTAGATCTCACAATCTAAAGCACCAGATTCATTCTTATTTCTTTCATAAGATTGCATTCTTATTTGAACCAAAATCTATATATATATATATATATATATATATATATATATATATATATATATATATATATATATATATATATATATATATATATATATATATATATATATATATATATATATATATATATATATATATATATATATATATACTCCCTCCGTCCAAAATTAAAGTTCCCACTTTCCTTTTCGGTCCGTCCACAAATAATGTTCCCATTTCCTTTTTTAGTAAGTTTTACAGGGTTAAAAGACAAAACTACCCTTGTCCATTACATTTCTTTTTCTTTTTCCTTTTTTCTTCCTTCCCACCTCGTCAGCCACCCTCCCCACTCTTCCTCCTCTTTCCTTCTTTTTCTTTCTTTTCTTCTCAATTCCGTCTTCTTGTTTTTTTTCTTCTTCTTCTTCTTTTCTTGTTTTCTTCTTCTTCGTTCTTCCTCTTCGTTCTTCTTCTTCTTCTTCTTCTTCTTCTTTGTCATTCCGTCTTCTTCTTCTTCTTTCTTCTTCATTTTTTCCCTGTTTTTCTTCCTTCTTCTTTCATCAATTAAAAGAAGAAATTTTTTCAGATCTGGTTGCATCTTCGTCAGATCTAGATTTGGAGGAACAATTTTTATTTATTTTTTTCCAGATCTATGGTGAGATGTTGATTTTCTTCCCTAAGGAGGAGTCTAAAAATAGATCTTTAAAGGCGGGGGCTTGTGACGGCGAGAGAAGCAAGTTGTGACGGCGAGAGGGATGCAAGGGCCTGCGACGCGCTGCGATGCCCGGAAATTTCGACGGCGGGGATGCAAAAGCATCATCAACGGCGGTGCAGAAGAGGCGGAGGCGGCGGTGCAGAAGAGGCGGAGGCAGCGGTGCAGAAGAGGCAGAGGCGGCAGTGTAGAAGCGGCGGAGGCAGCGGTGCAGAAGCGGCGGCGGCGGCGGTGCAAAAGCGGCGGCGACAGAGGTGCAGAAGTGTCGACCTCAGGGGTGTACGTAGATGGCTTAAAGATTAGGGGCATAAAGGGAAAGTCAACAAAATTTTCATTCCACCTAAATTTGCGCACCAAGTCAAAGCGGGAACTTTAAATGTGGACGGAGTGAGTATATATATATATATATATATACACATATATACATATATATATATATACATATATATATACATATATACATACATACATACATACATATATATATATATATATATATATATATATATATATATATATATATATATCCCTAATTATATACTCCCTCCATCCCAGAGTATTTGTGCACTGCACTTTCATTTTTGCACACCATCCAATGCACTTCTTTAATTCATTTTATCTTGTAATTTGTAAATTAAAAAATTATAGAAATTATATATTAATAATCTATATGTTAAGATAAATGAAACAAGATCACACATGACTATATTTAGACTTACACATTGAGAGAATTTGATGAGTCAAAGTGCTTAGATGAACAATTCCAAAAGTCAAAAGTGGACAAATATAGTAGGACGGAGGTAGTAAGAGCCAATAAAGTTACCATCCATTTCTTTAGTCTTTTTTCTGTTATCTAATTATCTTTTCCATGTAAGTTAACGGTGTTATCTTTAGGCAGCAATGAACAGTGCTAGACATGTGGAGCTCTTTTGCCCACATAAACATCACCTTGTGTGTGAGTGCCCAAACTTGTTGTGTAACTGCCCATACAATTATTTGATATATCATACCCATATTACTTAATCATAAGGATATAAGGAGTGGTTTACAAAAAATGAAGTGATCACCTACACTTCATTTATGATATTTGGCTAACTTAAGAGTTCTAACATAGGGATTGATTTACAAAAATTGAAGTGATTACTTGCACTTCTCAATTTCGCAGCCTTGGACTGATGCGAAAGTGTCCCACATTGTCAAAGTGATAGGTTTGCATCTACCAGATTGAATTTTGTAGTTAGAAAAGAGTAATATAATGGGAATCATCAAGAGAACAAGAAATGTACATCAAGTTATTTTAAACATCCCCATTGCATAAATGCAAGAGACCTGCACAGTACACGCATCCAGTAGGTACAATCATGTAGGCAGACGCACACACACACTCTACCATTTGAGCTTGTAGAGAAAAAAGTCATATTCATTAACTTGTGGAGACACATAAGCTTAATTACTACATTTCCTACATTCAAACCAAACTGTTTGGCCCTCTGACAACCACATCCCCACCCATCTTGGGTCACTACACACGGATGAAGGGATCACGACTGGAGCCCGTCACCCTCCAAAAAGCGTGGCAGAGGCAGTATTCATTATATGAGTATGAATGAAGTCATGAGTGAGAACAAAATTACAAATAAGCAAGCCAAAATGTTTTTAAAATTTGACTTCGCAATCATGCAGCAGGTCAAATAAGCAAGAAACCGAGCTCAGTAGCCTTTTTACCCAGGTTTCCCTAAGGTGTTGATCGGCATTCTCCATTCTCCTTATGGAACAACATTTAATGAATAAGGATAATGGAGGACACCGATCAACTCATATAGTCGCTTATGTTCATCATTATTCCATTAGGAACAACACCATACCCTCGAGTATGAAAGCATATGAAGGGGTCCAAAAAATACTTCAAAGCCAGGAACAAATATGTGACACTAAAATAATAAGTATCAGCCTCTATTTAAAATGTAAAGTCAAAACACACCAAAAGCATGAAACTAAACAACTGCCTAGACACCGAACCTTTTTACCCCCACCACAAATGAGTGCAGGCAATACAAATGTGTTCCTGGGTTTGAATTTTATTAGCATTGTGAAGATGATGGATTAGGTGACAATGAGTGTAACATATAAAATTGTGAATGGATTCAAAAAGGGGTAAAGTTAAAAGCATAGGAAATATTATTAAGTTTGTTTGGCAAATGTATGTAATTTTTAAAGTTGAAACAATAGAAGATCTGATAGAATAAGTAGTGGAACATACTCTTGGTCTATGATGATGAAGTCACTTGTTGTCTGTTGACCTTTTTGTGTGAAGACAAACTTGCAGGGCAGTTTGGAAATAACAGTTCCAAGTACATTTGTTATTCAGGACATAACAGTGTTAGATGAATAAGTCTTTTAACACAATGGGCATCTAACTGGATGCAAAAATGACCTCACCTCAACAACAACAAAACCTCAAAGGCTCAAACTCGATGCGACTTGCACCAGAAAATATGCAGTCTAATACCCTCTTTAAAGAAAAAGGTGATTCACGATATGCATAGAGTGTTGATGAATCTGTCGAAATAGGATTGATAGTTGTCGGTAGAGGAATGTCAAGAATATAGGAATCACAATAGTTGAATGTGTTGGTGTATGTATTGGAAGGGTAATAGTTTTTTTGGAGAGGACAGTTAGGAAAAGAAGAAAAATATTAGCCAATGTCTTTGAAAGCAAACACGTGGTCATAATGTATATCATAAATGAGTTAAATGGAAGACCTTTATTAGTAGAACAGGTGCCGGAGAATTTGGATCATTGAGTAGTCGCTGGACCCTATTTATTTTCTTGTTCACGTAACTCACGATATCTAAGCCGACGTCTTAAGTTTGTTTGTTCACGTTGAGTACCCTCGGCGACTGGTTGAGTAGATGAATATCATGTAATTACAAATATATGTATTAAATTTAGTAAATCATATGTTTTTTTTTAAAAAATATGTGGCTACCAAATAAGAGAACAGAGGTTCTTTTAGAACTAAGTGTCATTACAGATATCTATATCGAAAAGTTACAAATGCTTATAAAGAATTTTAATTCTTAGCAAATAATTTTGACATTACATTTCTAGAAATACATACAAAATCTGTTTTCAATAAAATTTAAAGAAATATATCTTTAAAGTGCATAAACATACCAAGAAAGTGGAACAAGAAGTTGATGAGATAAAAACGGGGCACGAATAGTACACCTGTGAAGACCATAAAGAATAAAATGTTTATCAAAGTAATTACATGAACACCTTCTTGACATATATGTAAATCACCACCTCTATGAATAAAGAAATGTAACAAAGTTGGGCACCCACACACGATGAGTATGAGTATTGGTCTCATTTTACTTCAAAACTATGGGAGAACATAGAATTTGTTGAACCGAGTACAATACGTGGAAGTGGAGCAAATGAGGTGGTGGAAACTACCCCTAAAGGGAAGGAGCGTTATTGCTACTAAAGGTTCTCATAGGTTGGATATAATCATGGTTAACAATTCTATGATGGAAGTTTATGAGGATATTTTCTCCAAACATCTCAATAAGGCCACATCTGACCTCAAACCTGTATTTTTATGCTGCAATAATCCTGATAAGGGTGGTCCTAAACCTTACAGATTTGTTAATGCATGGGTGAATCATCACAGCTTCCATAATATCGTCTCTGATTTCTTGATAAAGAATTTTGATCATGGGGGGATGTCTAGATTAGCCTCTAAAATCAAGGGTCATAAAATACAGGTTAAAGATTGGAACAAAGGTACCTTTGGGAACATATTATCTAACCTGAAAAAAATCTAAGGAAGCGCTCCTCAAAGCTCAAGAAGTATATATGAAAGAGACCCTAATGTGGAAAACAGAGAAGCTGATAATAAAGCAAGAGGCAATCTCATTATGGCCTGTGATAATGACCTAAGCTATTGAAAGCAGAAGGCCAATCAAAAATGGATGGAGTGGCGCAGGGACCCGACTACGGCTTGGGCTGACCAAAAAAATGGCCACTAGTTTCTAACTATAGGGTCCCGGCTTAATAAAACATGTGTCGCATTTGTTTATGAAACTGCTGATTTTAAAAGATATAAGCTTTTGGATGGATTCCTGCATTCGGTTCCGGGTACAGGTATGTGGGAGTGTGTGGACTTTTTCCCAATTTCATCCGTTTACGAAAATGGGTCTGGCCAATCAATTAATGGATCGAGTATCAAGCATGTCCTCAAGAGCCTTCATACACCACTCATTTTGAGTAAAAAAATGGACATGAAAGGACTTTTTCAAAAATGCAGTATATAAAAGAGCACTTGAAATAGAAGGAATAATCAATTGAAATTTTAGAAAAATAAACACACCAAACACCAACCAACAAATCCAAAACTAAAAGTCACATACACATAAGAGTCATGCGGTGTATACCAATCTTAAGCAATAGAAGTTTTAAATTACCCAGGCTAAGCACCCAAAATTCAAATGGAGTCCTTTTTTTGGGAAGTGGCTGAAGTTTAAAGAAATTCCAATAATTTGGCAAACTGAAAAAAGAACTTCAATTTTTATGTAAATTCCAGAAGTTTGAAGGGATATCCAAACTTTGCAAACCGAAAAAACCTCAAATTTTTTGGAAGTGGCTGAAGTTTCAAGGGATTTCCAACTTTTGCAAACCAAAATTGCTGTGAATTTGAAGTAGGAAGAATTGAAGTTGAAATAGGAAGAATTGATATTAAAGAGGCAGGAAGAGACAGCGAAATACCTGCGAAGTTGAAGGACGATAGCCGTACCGGAAGAAGAAATTGTAGGAGGATAAAAATATAAGTGAGCAAATGATGTGCAGAAAATAATGAGCCCCAGAACACAATGATCCATTAAGAAGAAGTGCAGAAAAAACCATTCTGATTTGAGCTAACATACCAACTACCAACCATATGTTATGTATGCAATCACATAACCAAAGAACAAATAGATGTCACTTATACACATAAAAAAAAGTCTATGAATTCAGTTTGTATGTGTATATGAAAGTTTGTTCCAAATAAGGACCTAAACAATGGATGACAGACATAAGGCAAGCACATACAAAGTTTAAAGTAATAGAGTAAATAACACAGTAATTGAAGTAGAAAGTAAATTGCTTGTCTTATGCTTTGATTAAAACATATACAAAGTTTGTATTGGTTGGGTGGACTTATTTTTAATCAAAGTTGATGTCATCCCACGTGACTTTAATCAATTTTTAATCCCAGGTGGACAAATAAATTACAAAGCTTGGGTGGACTTATTTTTAATCAAAGCTTGGGTGGAATTTGCATTAATAGATCAAATAACACAGTAATTGGCCTATTTAGTCTATTTAGTCATAAAAGTCAGTTTTTATGACTCTATTTAGACATAAGGCAAGCATTTACAGACATAAGGCAAGCACTTAAACTCTGTGTGAATTCACTTTTTAAGTGGACTTGTTTACTCTATTTAGTCATAAATCATTACACACTTGATAAGTTCATTTTGTTCTTATTTTATTCTACATATTTTAAGCGTTATTGCACGAAAATAGTAATAAATTTACCCATTGAAAGTGTCTACTAGTGACAAAACTGATGTTTTGTCTCAAGAAGAATAAAATACAGGTTCTAAATTAAATTAAGTGGATTTGTCAATTTTATGCACAAATGGGATAAAAAGTTTTAGATTTTAAAGATCATAATACTTTGGAGGTAGAAATCAGTGTCTGGGAGCCAATTGGGCCGATGCGGAACAACTTTGGGCCCAAAATCACGAGAAACCGCAATTGGAAGCAAATTGGGCGCTGGATTTGGGTCCTGGGCGTCCAAAGTTGGACGCCCGAAGAGGCTGGACGCCCAAGCTATCTGGTGACACGGCCTTGCCACGCGGCACAACGCGACTGGACGGAACACGTATTTTGGGTACGGGCGTCCAAAGTTGGACGCCC